GGCTCGGGCCCAGTGATGGAATAACAGCACACACTCAAAACTCAAACCTCTACGGGTGAGGACGGGGAAAGGGCAAGGCGGTGAAGGCGCTACAGGTTCGGGTGCGAGCTGGCGGAGCCAGGGAAAACTCCCCTTTGCGCTGGGGCCCCCATCCGACATCCAACACAGATAGTCCAGGCGGCAATCCAGTCCCCAGAATAGCACAACGGGGCATGTAGGTTCGAGGACTGGAAACTGAAACTGGTACTATCTCATCTTCGGGATAACGCATGTGACTGGCCACGCCCCTCCCCACTTCCCCCCTGGTTACGTTACGATTCGCGCCAGCGCCGTGTGGTAATGACCCATTCTTGGGCATTTGCAAACGGCGACGGCGCGAATCGTGACGTGACCGGCCCACCCCTGCTCTCCCCCCTGGTCACGCCCACTATCCAGAGGACACAATTGAATATATGATACCAGAGAAAAACCAATCAGAATTGTTTTAGGGCTGTAGTGCTATTGGGCTATAGGGCTATAGGGCCATAGGGCTATGGGGCAATAGGGCTATAGGGCTATAGGGCTATGGGGCTATAGGGCTATGGGGCCATAGGGCTATTGGGCTATAGGGCTATAGGGCTATAGGGCTATTGGGCTATAAGGCTATAGGGCTATAGGATTATTGGGCTATATGGGGTATAGGGCTATTGGGCTATATGGGGTATAGGGCTATTAGGGCTATAGGGCTAAAGGGCTATGGGGCCGTAGGGCTATAATGCTATAGGGCTATAAGGCTATACAATTATACGGCTGTAGGGCTATATGGCTACCGGGCACCTGGGCACCCGGGCACCCGGGCACCCAAACACCCCCGGGCACCCGGGCACCCGGGCCGGCCACCGAAATCGGCGGCACACCTCACCTAACCATATGAATCCGCTCGGACCCCTACAGAGGCAAATTCTGATTGGGGAACATACACTTTCGACGCTCCGCGCGGAGCTCCAAAAGTGTATGTTCATACAGTTGTTCTGGTCTGATTACCGCGCCAAGGAGAAAAACTGAAACCCAAAGGTACTGATACAGCTACTCCCCGAACAGAACTTCGAGGCAAATCCGTCGGAATGGCCGCCCAGGAGACCCAAAAAGGCGAAAACGAGCGAAGGATAGCAATATTAGAGGCCTCCTTGATGGGGTCGGAGTATCGCGCCGCATCGGCGAGACATCCGCGATGCATCGGCGATGCACCGGCGATGCATCGGCGACGTCGGCGATGCATCGGCGATGCATCGGCGACGTCCGCGTGAAGAATTTCGGGCTCCGCATCTGGCCGTATCGCCGATGCATCGGCGATGCGGCGCGATCCTCCGACCACATGCCTACGCTGGCAGTTTAAAACCATATGCAGCCCATGGATAATCAGATAGAAGGGGTGAAAGGCGGAGGTACTTTATTATCGTCAGCATGCGATTATGGGAAACTTTTCCTCCTGTGAGGGGAGCACCCCCCCGACGCTAGTATACGCTAATCGACGCTAGCCGACGCTGAATCGGCGCTATCTTATCAACTCCCAGACGCAAACCGACGCTCAAGATGGAATTAAGAGGTGCTCAGTACCTCGTCTACTCACACCCCATCTGGGAGGTCTAGAAGTAAGGGTACCTTGTCCTCCTCTGAGGGGAACCCTCCCCCATCTCCCGACGCCCGAGTCGGGTATCTTCTGACCTGGGTCCCATCCAGACCTGGGCCAGTCAGGCCTTGCAGGACACTGAAGGATCCTGCACCCAAGCCCCCCTGGCGCTCCGGCGCCCCCGCAGGGGCCCCACGGCGCGCCAGGGGGGCCCAAAGAGAGAGAGAGAGAGAGAGAGAGAGACGGCTGGCGCGCCAGGCGGGGCCGGCCATGGGAGCACGGGAGCTCGGCTGCACGTAAGAGTGACCCTAGGCAAGAGCGGCTTTGGTGCGCGACTTAACAGTAGGTCAGGCATGTCCTCCTACATGCGGATTTCAGGCGGAAACAATCAAACAATGCTCACAAACAATCAAAATAATGAACAAATCGTCCCCATACGATTTTTTTACTACTTTTGATTATTCCTCCTGTAGAGTGACACGCCCGACTTATACTTAACGGGGAACCCGGGGTGGCCAAACCCGGGCGCCCGAGCCGCCTCTGCTGTTTCGCGTTCCGCGATCGGGGGGGCCCATGGGGCCCGCACCAAAGGTCACTCTGGCGAAAGGTCACTACAATATCCAGACGAGGACAGCCACGCACCCAGGGACAATGTGAGACCGTGCTTCGAGTGGGAGATCGACTACAGAAGAATTCCATTCCTCGTAGAGATCTGCGGAGCATCCTGCGTGTTTTTTCCCATATATTCGACGAGAAAATAAAGTCTGGGGTAAAGCAATCCTGTGGTAGATCCCCTTATCGAAATCTAGAGGAACAAACCCGATCGTGCTGACGAGGCGCCCTGGCGATCGCTGACCGCGTAACCCTCCTCCCTCTTCTCCTCCCTTCCCTCCTCCCGACCCCCCTCCTCGCCAAGCGTCTCCCTTCTGAGCCCCAGGGACCTCTGATACGGAAACCCCACTCGACCAGGTGGTCAAGCACGATCCCAGCGCTGTCGAGCTGTGAGCCGAAGGCGACCTCGCTAAGAACCCGAGTGCTGGCCGACATCATGGGGGAGCGAATGTTTCATCGCGAACCGCTCGCTGACAGGTCCCGGGATCCGTTTTCGGGCCCCGAGAGCCCGAAAACGGCGAAAAACCTTAGGACCCGCTTCCCTCAAGACCTGTTCCCCCCATGGGGAACTCGCTCGGAACCCGTAAGCTGGCCAACCGCGGGCCGCCCGCTAAGGGGCTCCGAACGAGGCGGTCGGGGGCCGCCGCGGCGCGGCCCGGCTGCTTCACGTCCCGCTGCTTCACGTCCCGCTGCGATGGTGGGCCTCCTCTCCTCGCCTCCCCTCCTTCCCTCCTCCCTTCTTCCTGCCTCCTCCTCCTCCTCCTCCTCCTCCTCCTCCTCCTCTTCTTCTTCTTCTTCTTATTATTATTAATATTATTATTCCTCTTCCTCCTCCTCCTCCTCCTCCTCCTCCTCCTCCTCCTCCTGTGTCTCCTCCTTCTCGTCGTCCTCCTCCTCCTCCTCCTCCCCTCCTCCTCCTCCACCTCCTCCTTCCTGCTGTCTCATTCCTCCTCCCCCTTGCACTCCACGTCCTCTCCTGTTACCCGTCCTGCCTCCTCCCTCCTTCTCCTCCCTTTCCCCTCTCCGCATCCTCTCCTCATCCGCCTCCGTTTCCTCCTCTTGTGGACTCCTCCGCCTCCCTCCCTCGCGTCTCCTCCGCCTATCTCTCATCCTCTCCTCCTCCTCCGCCTACCCTCCTCTTCTCCCCTCTGAGTCTCCTCCTCCCCCCGCCGCGACTGCTCCTCCTCCTCCTCCTCCTCCTCACTTCTCCTCACCTCCAGCGCTCCTCCGCGCCTTCCTCCTTCTCCTCCTCCTCCTCCTCCTCCTCCTCCTCCATCTCCATCCCCTCCTGTTCCTCATTCTCCTCCTCCTCTTCCTCCTCCTCCTCCTGCTCCTCCTCCTCCTCCTCCTGCTCCCAGAGGCGCGCGCCGGGCCTTTTCTCGCTTCTCCTTGGAGATCCTGTTGGGGTCCAGCCTCGGCCGCAGGCGGGGCGAGGTGCAAATCCTCATCCTCCCAAGTCCACCGCCCGATGGCTACAAGGAGTATGGTAGCGCTCTCTCGGGATGCTCGAGTAAGACGAAGCCAAGACGAGGTCATGTTCGGGTAAGAATAAATCGAGAAACGCTGACATCTGGCCGCTCTGGAGGATGCATCGGGCGCCGTGGCCTTCTCAGAACGGTCTGGAACGCTCTGAGAGCGTTCCAGAGCGTTGCGGAACGCTCTGCTATGGATTATCCTCGTCCTAGCCCCGTCCGATTGAGAGCACTGACCATGCTACTCCCAGTGTGCATACCAAGAACGGCCATGCATTCACGGAGGAAACCGCACCATGTATCTCAATGTATCACACATGCATCGAACATGACATTTCACGTTGCATCGGGAACGCCGTCCAGAACACCACCTGCGTAAAGCGCGATACGGAATTCGTCGACTCGACCTACCTGGTACACAACGGTCGGATGGCATCCACGGGGCATTGGCTGGTGTGAAACATGTTCGAGGATTCACTGCAGATCTGTAGATGTCTTCATCTTTTCCACGCTGGCGTTCGACTTCACAATCAAATAGCACCTCTCGGCAGACGGGCCGAGGCAATTCTGGCGCCCCACGTGGCGTGGCCATCTACTGTCCAGAATCTCGCCTGCACCGCAGGCGCACGAACCCTCACCCGGAACACGCGTGCAAGATGCTGACTGAATCGCCGGCCGTACTGTGGCACGACCTGCCCGGCCAGGCTGAAACAGGCGAACTGACTTCCAAGCAAGAGTCTCAGGATATTTTTGAGGTCCTGGACAAGGTAGGCGGTGACCTCTCACATGTGCTGGCATGCTATACTGAAGCTTGCAGTGCTCACTAAATAATTGCTTTTTGTGCGCCCTCAACTAAAAACTGGTATGTTCGGGTTGAGCAACCCATGCTCATGGCACTACCTCAGCACTGACTGCACCGCGTATGCAATGCGTGAGAAACGTTGCAAAAAAAAACGAAACCACAATGCCTCACAAAGCGGTGGCACAAATTTTCAAACCGGACACAAATGTTGTTTCTTGATTGTCGTTCCTGTAAGGGGTCCAGGTTGCGACAAGTGCAGGCAAATGAACACCACATGCAGACTCCTTGTGGACATACAAGAAGACATACCCATGCACATTCAAGTGCGCATATACACCACAGGGTCCGTGTACAACAAGCGGCCCGTGTTCACTGCAGGACCCCGCACACGCAGACGAGTGTACACCACAGACCTGTGTACGCACACATACACACAAAACTGTGTACACCACATGTGCGTCCGGGTAAATATACGACAAGCGCTGGTCTCTGCACATCGTAAGCACGCGTCCAGTGTACATCATAGGGCATCGGGGCTGCAAGGAGTTGCGTACGCAGCACAGACGGAATACACCTCGGACCTTTGAGCTCCACTGGCCTGCGTGCACAACGGGAACAACAGAAAGCCCATGCTCAACGCAGGGCAGGTGAACACATACGATCACTTCAACTCGAACAGTACTGAGCAGAACGTGTACGTGGGAGTCTCGTGGGGGGGGTAGCGTGAGGCTTATGGAGGGGCAAGGTGGAGTACTGCGCGTATCGTCCAGATGGGGAACACACGCGCTGCTGCTCATGGCGGTCATGGTGATCCTGTGGTCATGCAGACCTGTCCTGCCATCTTCCCACGGCTAAAATCGCACCAGGACGCATCGGGGATCTTCGAGACCCGACGACTCTGGAGGACGTATCGGGCGCCACGGCCGTTGCAGAAGCACCTGGAACGCTCTGCCGAGGGAGGCAAACACCGAGGGAGGCGAGCCTCCTCCTTGCCTGCAGCAAACGCATGGGTCGTGAGTTTCAGCCGCGCCTAGACTGTGCCTCGGCTCCAGAACGCCCTGGAGCGATCTATCCCGCTCCGAAGCATGCCTGACATTTCCCTGGGGAGATCAAAAAAACTGCCGATGCCGCTACTCCACAGACCTGCCCTGCGGTGCGTCCTGGCCAGAGCACCGAAGCGAACCCAGCCGTGGTGACGAGGGCCTCCCAGAAGGCCCCAAACAGGGCAAACGAGGCAACGGGTAGCGGTATTGGTACCTCTTGTTCCTCTGATGGAAATCGGTTATCCGACCCCCATCCCCAGCGGCGTGGCCTGGGCCCCGCTGGCCGATTTACCCCCCTAGATGGTGATATAGGCCGTTCCCTTCGGGTTTCGAGGGGTGTATCCCCAACTGGGGGGATAATTTGGTGGAGGTCTCGAAGGGGATGGGGATGGGCGTGGGGATCGGATAAACGATACTGAGTATTGGCACCTCTTGCCCCTCTGAGAATTCTTTGCTCCCGAACATGCCTGACGTCTCCCACGCCGCTCGCCGGTGGAGTCTGGCCCCGGGGAGGCCACGGAGCACCGTGCGCGGCGGAAGGGCAGCAGGGCATGCTGAGGCAGCGTGCCCCTCCTTCTGCAGTCAAGACGGATCGTAGGGATGCGCGATGAGGATGCAAGTCCCTTTGACGCCCAGGTCGAGGCTTTTCGAGCACGGCGGGTCATCGAGAGTAGGCATGGGATGGGCCGAAGAGGCACGCCTGCAAGGGCACCCTTGGGAAGGTAACCCATCCTTACCATCGGCTTCGACTGTACCCCCATCTGCAGGCGCACACACATGCACGCACACTCGCTCACACGAGGCCGCGCACTGCCTCAGGTATTTGAGCCATCGGCGGGGGCTCTTGCCTCCGAAGAGGCCGTCTTGAGGCCTGTCTTGGGCTGCCCTACTCATCTTACCAGAATCTTACCCCCCCGCCCCCCTCCCCCGCCCGGCGGAATCCCACCAGCTCTGTAGGGCGCGAGTGATTCAGAGAATCTCCTCTTCCAACCCCCGCCCCTTTGGGGAGGGGTTTATCCCTCCCGCTCCCCCCTCCCCCTGGACCTGGACGGGGGGTGGCCCGCGAGGGATTAGAGCGTCCAAGATGGCCTCGGCGAGAACGAACGAATCATATATTCACTTCGGGCTTGGTTTACATGTTGGCCTCGCGGGGGGGCAACGGTGATCAAGTACGCCCCCTTCTCCGATCGAACTTCTCCAAGATGGTCCTTGGATGGCAGGCCCCCAAGAGGGCCCACATAGGGCCCCAAGAGGCGCCCAGGAGGCCCGAGGAGGCCGAGGAGGTCCCCAAGAGGCTCCCCAGAGATCCCCAAGAGGCTCGAAGCACCGAAGACGCTTCTAGAGGTCCTCAGGACCGCCACGAGGCCCCCAAGGCGCCCCAAGAGGACTCCAAGAAGCTCTAGAGACACCCGAAGAGACTCCGAGGGCATCCAAGATGGCTCTGGCTTTTCTGCTCACCATCCCCCTCCTTCTTCTCATCCTCTTCTTCCTCATCCGCCTGTTCCTCCTCCTTCCTCCTCCCTCCTCCCCCTCCCCCTCCCTACTCTTCCTCCTCCTCCTCCTCCTCCTGCTCCTCCTCCTCCTCCATCCTCCCCCTCTTGGGGTATGACGTCTTACCCGGCCCTTTATTATACTGCATGCTCCTCCACATCCCTCATCAAGGCAACGCGTCTGGGCATCGTGTCTGGATGGGCTGATGGAAGTACGTAAAGCGTCTGAACGTGTTTGATGTACTAATTTCTCGTCCTGCTAACGATATCGCTCGGCGGCCCCCCCTCGAGACTTGTCCCATGATTTGTTGAGTGGTTCCTGTAACGGGGTGTTCGACGTTGACGGCCTACGGCTACACTCTCGCACAGACGCCCCGCGCGCTGGCACACAGAAAGACACACGTCCACGCGGATAAACGAGTCAACATCACGACGCACATCGTTGCTCACTCCACTGGTCATACTGCTCCGGAGGCCGAGCGCTGCGGCCGCCGTTGCAGCTCCTGGGAGGAGGGGGCAGGGCATGCATCACGAGGTTCACAGTTTAGACTGGGGCGGCGGTGGAGCCATGCGACTACACTGGAAAGCAACAAGCAGTATCGCAATGTCTGAGCCCGTGGCTTTGTTGTGTAGAGCTCTTCGTCGAATGTGCTCTGGATGCCATACCTGTTGGAAGCACGTTCTAGCCGAGGAGCCCAGCAGCGCGGAACGTGGGACGATGTGCAACAGAGGCAACAAACACTGGAGTGAAGGCGTGAAACAGGTCAGTCAGATGAGCAAGCTGCAACGGGCGACACGAGCAACGATGCATGAGGGGCCGACGTCAGCAAATACGCGCCACATTCCACTCCTCCCAACTGCAAGTGCAACGGAGGAACCTCTCGCTATTCACCGCAAACTGGTCCTGCCGCCAGCAATAAAATCAAATGTGTGAACTCAGCAGGAGATATGAGAAAGATCGTGCTTCTCAATCTCTCGCAACGGCAGATCGGAACTGACGGGGAGAGCGAGACAGTGGTCGCACTAGAAGTCACTAGACGGTAACTTCGTCCTTTGCAGGAGAATTGACGTGCGGGCCTGCTTGGAGAGGGCACGCCAGACGCATATGGACGAATCCTTCCTACTCAAAACCTGGGCTCATATCCATCGTCCGTCGTCGACCTCGAGCTTCGCAATGCGCACGCATCAGGGCCCCGCAAGGCCAATGGAGGTCAAAAGGCCAACGTGTGGATCCTGCTGACAGGAAGGCTTCTGACGTTCCGCAAGGCGGAGAGATGGAGGAGACACGGCGCGGGCGTCGGCACGTCCGAAAAAGCTACAGACAAACATTAGCACTGTGCCCTAAAGTTAGCCAAAGCGCGTTCCACTGCTCGCACAGTATCTACTCGCAAACGGGCTAGATCCGCCGAGGATGCACGATCCATTACACCGAGTCAGGCATGTGTTTGTTTCGGACGTTTGCGAGCAGGCATTTTGCGAATCAAACAACGCGCTCGGTGAATAGCAGACGTTCTCCAACTCGGACCAGTGGCACGTTCTCCACAACCGATACGGGCCGCGATTGTGCAGGCGACTTTTGGTCTCAAGTGGACAGCGTCCGCGGCGGCAGTGGCTGCAAGTCCTGCTCAAAACGAGCAGGAACTGCTGCAGGTCATCGTCCCCATTGAGGGGGAACGATAGGGTGACCGGCTCGAGGGGAGAAACATGAACCTGGAATCGGCGATACATCGCCGATAGATCGGCAAGAGGGGCCCCCGATAGCAAATGCGCACGTTACTGGGCGGAATGGGCTGTCGAGCCCCGAGCTGCGATCAATGGGCGAATGGGGTTCGATACATGCCCCCCCCCCACAAAAAAACATCCCCCCGTAACTCAGCTCTCCAAGGCGGCCGTTCTGGACGATCCAGGCAACTCCAGAAGGCTCTCGGCGAGGCGCAGCTGCCGGAAGGCATCCCGAGGCTGGAGAGCAGCCGAGAACCGACGAAAACGCCTGAAAGCCTCGAAGCTCGAAAACCTCGAACCTAACCCCCACAACAAAGCAAATCAGGAATCGAATGACAATGGAGTACATCTGTGCTTTTGATATCTTATCACAAGCTTCTCATGATTGACTCTTTGCTTTAACTTATCACCATGGTTGAAGGAGCGCAAGGGCGTCCGCGGTGGCTGTCAATGGGCGATTGGGGGCCCATGCATCATCCCCTGAGCCTATCCCCCCGCAACGTTGCCCCTGAAACATGGCTCAGCGATCCATGGAGTTGGCGCGCGGTCCCCAAAGCCCAAAGCCATGTATCGGGGGAGGCGCCCGTCGCCAATCCGCGCCCCCTTGATCCATGCTTGCGATCGCCTGGAGAACGCCCTCGACCACTCTGGGCTTCGAAACCATTCGAAAAACTTCCGCAAACGTTCGAAACGACACCGCCACCCTGAGCCGCTCCCCCTCCTCCTCCTCCCCCTCCCCCTCCTCCCTCCTCCTCCTCCTCCTCCTCCTCCTCCTCCTCCTCCGCCTCCGCCTCCGCCTCCTCCTCCTCCTCCTCCTCCTCCTCCTCCTCCTCCTCCTCCGCCTCCTCCTCCCCGTCCACTTCCTCCCTCTTGCGATCGCCAGGGAGGAGCCAGGGGAGGACGACCGCGGAGCCGCGGCGGTCCCACTGCCCATCGTGGTGCACTGCGAGGGTGCCCAGGTCGCCTGCGGCACGCGGCGGGTGCCGTGCCCGCTGCCGCGCGCGGGGCCAATGAGCACCCACGAGCCCGCGGCCGTCGACGCCGGATCTCCGAGCGGCGACGATGACGTCGACGTCGGCGTCGTCCTTCACGATCGGCGAGCGTATCTGGTCACGTGATCATCGGCCCGTGGGGGGGGACAAATGTGGCTGCCCATGCCCTTCGTTTCGGGGAGGGGATTTCTCCCCTCTCCTCCGTAAGGCTTTTGGGGAGGACCGCGAGGTTGGACGGGGCCCCTTTTCACAAAAAAAATGGCTCCAAGAGGGTTCCCGATGCTCCAAGATGGCCTCCAAGGCGGCTTAAAGTGTCCGGAGATCGGTTCCAAATGCTCTCAGAGCCCACCCAGGACTGCCCCAAGAGGCCTAGAACAGTTAAAAGTTACTGGATAATCCGCCGACCCTGTCGGCGTGTGTGAAGAGCTTGTCCGTTCGAGTCGTCGTCTCCGTCGTTCGTTAATCGTCGTCTTTGTCACCCCCTAGGCCCTCGTCCTCAAGCGCGCCAGCCAAAGCGAACGTGAGCAACGTCGTAATTGACTCGACGGGGAGCCCCTTCCCTTTGATCCCTCCCCCGTCGGGAAATGGGGTCGCGGGGGGGTCGCGGGGGGAGTCCAAGGGAGGGGGTCCCCCGTGTCAGATGCGACTACCCCCGGGGGGTCACGGGGCCCTAAACAACCCAAAACGGGCCAAGAGTCAGATCTCGGGGGCCAGGCTGCACGGCGCGGTGATGGGCAGCGGGCCCCACAGGCCCTGCTCCAGCTCCTCGTTGTTGTACACCACGGCTGCCCAGCCCCGCGCATGCGCGACCAGCTGGGGTTGGCCACCGAGCCGCCGGTGGCGATGCCCCCGCTGAAGTGCGCTGGGCCGTCAGGTTTGACCCAGTGGAGCTCGGCCTCGGGCAGCTGCCAGCTCACCCCCACCGTGGGGTCCTTCACCAGGCCTCACGTCCACAGCCAGGGGTCCTGCGCCGCCTCGCCCTGCGCGATCATGTCGCAGAAGATCGCGTCGGACGTCAGGTCGGTGAGCTTCCCGCGTATCGCAGCGCACTCGGGAGTGCGGCGATGCAAGTGCAGGTGCATGTGGGTGCCCTCCTCCGAGCCGCACAAGGGCCACATGGCGCTGTCAGCCCTGCCCTCCGCGAAGAGAGCGCGCTGCTCGGGGCAGCCGCCGACGATGGCCACCGTCGCGGCGCTACGGTGGAAGGTGTCCAAATCTGCGACAGCTTCTTGCGCATGACCTGCCGTAGTGACGTGGGTCGGGGGCGCGGCAGCAGCGCCTCGCAACTGGGGGCGCTGGCCCAGGCGCCCAGCTCGCCCTCCCCGATGGCCTCCTTGGCTTCACTAATCATGTCCCAAGGGGCCACCTCGCACATGTTGATCCGCTCATGCGCCACCGTCTGTCGTAGCACGTGACCAAGATGGCCCCCGCCTCGCGCCTTGGCCCACCGCTCCTTGGATAGGGGCGTCAGCCCGCAGGACGGGCCCGATGCTGCCACGTTGCTTGGCTCGCGGCCTCTGCGTGCCCTCGCGCATGTCGGGGCGGTCGCAGAGCGGGCGCGCCCGCGCCTGCCGCGGCGCCGGCTTCGCGCGCATCGCCGCCTGGCCCCCGTCGGTGGCTGCGTTGAGCGTCGCCGAGCGGAAGGGGCCCGCCCTCGCACGAGACGCCCTGAGCTTGTCATTCAGGAGCTTCTGGGCGCGGAGCGGCGCGCCCTCGCGCGCAGCGCCTTGCGCGAAGGAAGGAGCGACGCCCTGCCCCGCGAAGCGCTCCACCTTCGCCCCGCGTCTCCGGAGCCGGGCCGCCCAGCGCGAGGGGGCGGCCGCGAGGCGCCGCCGGCGTCGGGGGCGCCGACGACATGCGGGTTGCAGCCGATACCCGGCCACGCCCCCACGCTGCCCCCGAGTGCGCCGAGCCGCTCCATGGGCTCATGCAGCGCCGCCTTGGCCGCCAGGGCGCTCGTCGCAAGCGCGCGCTTGCCGCCTGGCCCCCTCGCCAACGGGGGCCCCATCACCTCCGCCAGCACGCCGGCGCCAGGCACTGGAGAGCCCCGACAAACTCCGCCCCGAGGTGCTTGGCCGAGTGGGGCATCCTCAGCGCGACGTCATCCACGTGCTCCGCGATCCGAGAGCGGGAAGCCCTCGCGCAACAAGGTTCAGGGCCCAGTAGAGGAAGACCTTGAGCAGCTTGCTTGAATATTTGGGCCCCGCTGGTAGCCCGACAAGCGCGGCGATTGGCCCTGCAGCTGCGCCTTCGCGTCGGACGCAGCGGGGGGTCGAGAAGGCCGCCAAGGCGAGCCCAACTGCGTCCGATGGGAACCCCGTGGCCTCCGCGAAGTCCCACGGGAGGTTGAGGAAGGCCTTCTAGCACGCCTTGATGATGCCGAGCAGGTTGCTGGCCGAGCTGGAACCGCTACCCCCCGAGCCTCGTCGCCCAGCAGCACGCGCCAAGCCGCCTGCTCGCTGCTCTTGTCTGGGGCTGCCCAATCATAGCCCCTGCAGTGCTGGGTCCCAGACTCGCGCAGGCGTGTGGAGCAGGCAAATCAGCCTCCCCCACCGTCGAGCTTGCCCAAGGTGAAGACGACCAGGTGGTGGATATCGCCTGGCCACGCGCGCAGGCTCTCGCGCCGCTCCAGGACGACGCCGACGTAGCCCAGGAGGTCGTCGCTCAGCCAGCTCCAGCGGCGAGGGCGCCAGCCCATGACCCCAGCTCGCTCTCGATAGGCCGCGCAGATGGGGCGCAAGCGATCGGTCTCGACACGCCAAGCTCCGCCCCGGTGCCGACCAGAGCTTGCTGCGTGGGCCCTGTCCAGCCTGCCACGCGCCAGCCCACTCGGCCGCCTCTTGCTCCGCCGCGCGCCGAGAGTGCGCGGCCGGGGGCTGCTGGCCGACCGAACCCCGCGGCGGGCTCCAGTCGGCCCGCCGCGCACGCGCCGCGTGCAGGAGGCCTGCCGAGCCAGCGTGAATTTCTCCTCCAGCTTGAGCGTGAATCTGCGGCCCCGCTCGCTAATGAGGGCCTGCCCCCGCTCGTCCGGGCGGGCGCTTGCCGCGCCCCTGGCGGCGCCCAGCGCCCCGATGGCATCGATCGCGAGGGGCGCCTCCAGCAGTCGCATCAGGAGGCCCCCGAGCAGGTGACCCATGCCATCCGAGAGGGCCCAGTACTGCACCGAGCTCTGGAACTTGACTGCGGCCGCCTGGAACTGGCGCCTGCGCGCAGCGGCCATTCGGGCCTTGCCGTCGCGCGCGCATTTCTTGTCGCTCGTGCTCGCCAGGATGCCGATCGGGCGCGCCACGCTGTCAATCCTGCGTAGTCCTCGCCAGCCTTGATGCTTCTCATCCCGTCGTCGGTCTCGCACTCCCCGTGGCCGTTCAGCACCTGCTGGCTGCCGACCTCGGTCATCGCGCCGCCGCTGATGCTCACCATGTCGTGGTTCGCGCGCGGTCTGTTCCCGTTCTCCGTGACCGCGCTGCCGACGAGCTCCCGCTGGCCGTCGCCCTCGATCTCCGCGCGGTCGATCAGTGTCCCGACCTCGCTAACCATGTGGCCGATCATGCCGGCGGCGCGCCGTCGGTCCTGCTCTCCCTGCGGCCGTTCAACGCAAGCGGGTTGCCGACCTCGCTCGCCCTGCTGTCGTTGACGCCCGCCGCGTCGCGGACCCCGCCCGCCGCGTCGCCCTCCGGCCCCTGCTGGTCGACGACCTCGCCCTCCATGCTGTCGCTCTCGCGCGCCCTCTTCCCGATCTCGCTCGCCGCGTGGTCGATCGTGCTCGGCGCGTCGCTGGTCTCGCCCCACCCCTTCCCCCGCGGCCGCACAACGCGCGCTGTTTGTCGACCCCGCTCTCCATGGCGCGCCGTCGACTCCCGCCGCGCCGTGGTTCTCGCGCACCGCGTTCCCGTTCTCGATGACAACGTTGCCGACGAGCCCCCACTGGCCGTCGACCTCGATCTCCGCGCGGTCGCCCTCGTTCGCCGCGTTGATGTCGGCGCTCTTCCCCCTGCTGTCCGCGCGCGTCGGGTGGGCGTCTACGCACTGGGCGCCATCGTCCGCGATCAGGTCCAATTGGCTCTCGTCCATGAGCATTTGGCAAACGGGAACCTCGAGCCAAGCGGCCTCCACCGCTGGCCGCCTCCAGGCCCGAGCTGGCCCCCGACAGGCGACCGCGCGCGGGCGCTTGGGCAGCAGCTCCTCGTCGATGAGCTCGGGCGCCGCTCCCCGCCCCCTACGCGTGGCGGCCCGATCGCCCGCCGGCCTGCAGATTGTTCGCAGCTGCATGGGGGCCCGCGAGGAAGCAGATGCGACCCCGCGCCTGATCGAGTCTTTGGGCCGCAGGGGCGCCCTCCAACGCCTCGACGCCGGGGCGCGCCTGCGCCTCGCGCCCCCCCATGGGGCCCGGCCGCTACGCGGGCTACTGCCGAGGCTCGTCGATCACTTTCACTGCGAAGGCTTTGTCGCGCGCGCCGCGCCCCCGGAGGCCTCGACGAGCCTGTATCCAGAAGTAGTCGATAATGCTGTCTGCCCCCGAGCTGCTTCCGCGCGCGACCTCGCTGCGCGCGGCGGCCTCGTCGCAGCCGCGCGCCCCCTTGAAACCGGGGGCTGCGACCTGGGCCCCGCGGCCCGGCATTCCAGCCCCCGCCCAGCAGCCAGGGGGGCGAGTAGCTAGATGATCCAATCCGCGATCACGTCGACGATGGCCACGGTCGGGGGGCGCTCGAACCCTTGGCCGACCAAGTGGGCGCTGGAGGTCGCGAGCTGGCCGAGCCCTGGGATCGCGATCAATGACATCGCCGAGCGCCCCTCGCTGCCCCGCGGGCGGATGTCTCACCAGGGCTGCCCCGGTGCCAACGCCATCGGGAGGCAGGCGGGCAGCGCCACGGCGGCGCCCGCGCCGCGCCCGCCCGCGGCAGGATTCGCGGGCGCGCCCAGCGCGCGCCAACCCTGGGCCGCCATGCCCGTCGCGCCCTCGTTGAACCATTGCCA